GGGGAGGAGGAGCGTGCGACCGCCACCCAGATACGCCACTGGTTCCACGTGGCTACACCTCTTTGTTTGTGCAACTACTTCATACTGTAAATAATAATCAGTTTGATATACAACTTATCACATTTAATTAAAATTAATTATGTGCTTGCTTCTACAGTTTATCACAATATTACGTTACTTTTCAATTAACTCTTTCCAACTATTCTGGTGAAATTCTACGTCTTTCCTTAGGCTTTAGTATTAAGCCATACAGGACACAAAGACAGCCAAAGACAAAGGTACAAGCTACAGCTCCAGTAAACATCATCATCATTATAATACCTGCAGTCCAATGAATACCTACAAAATTATTATAATTATGATTATTTCCATTTGTAAGGTACTAAAATGTGTATATCGAACAAAGCAATCAAATAAATCCACTTTTATATTTCAAACTGCGAGAGAGTGCAGTTGGTTATCGTCTTCAGATATTTGTTAGCAATTATGCAAAAACTAATGAATGGATCATCATAAAATTTAGTGGAATGGTACTGTAGATAATAATCGAAAAAAGCCACTTTCTAATTTTCGGAAGAAAATGTCGAAGGACAAGTTCAAGTTCACGGAAATTCGATTTTTTTTATCCTTCGTCATAAAAGAAAATAATGATCGAAAAAAGCCACCTCCTTTATCCCCATAAAACGGCTGTAATTGAAAATTACAGTGTTAGTTATAACCCAATGAAGAACGGATTAAATGTTGGTGGCGGTCCGTGTAGGGTGTGGATGTAAAGACCATTTAAATGGATTTTAGAGCAAACGTCCTAGATAAGGTCTAAAAAAAATCAACTGTTTTGAATGAAACTTTCGTGAAAGTTTAACCAAGTTACAAGAAAGAAATTATCAAGCGTTGGTCACGATCCAAATTAGTGGGTAAACTTGAGGGTCATTTAAATTTTTAAGGTCGTGTGTGTTTATTATTATTATTATTATTCTTATTATTATTATTATTACTATTATTATTATTATTATTATTATTATTATTATTATTATTATTATTATTATTATTATTATTATTATTATCATTATTATTATTATTATTATTATTATTATTATTATTATTATTATTATTAATTTCATTAATATTTTACTGTACTCACCAACATTTTTTGTCTGTCGTTTATCCGTGTACCCAGTATCGGTAGGCCTATTCATTATTTCTATAAAAATAGCCCCACAATTAAATTAGTTTAGTGACAATCTTAGATAAGGAGAATATAAAATTGACATTACGATAAAATTGTGTGGCTGGATGATTATTATGGTTACGACGACGACGACGACGATGATGATAATGATGATGATGATGATGATGATGATGTGATGATGATGATGATGAAGCAACCAACATCGAAATAGCATTGAAGAGGATAGACATGAAGAATATGAAATTGACTAGGAAGTTACGATGATCGATGATGATGATTATTTAAGCTATCATCCATGATGGTCTGAATGTTACCTACCAGCACTGGTTTCGCCATCTATGTACTCCTCAGCAGAATTTGCTGTCTGTTGTTCATTTGTGTATTCGGTATTGGTAGGCTTAGTAATTATTTCTATAAAATAAGCCAAACATTTAAATTAGTCTAGTGACAATCTTTGATAAGGAGAATATGATTTGACTGGGTTATTCTTGTCATTACGAGGACAATGGTGTTGACGGATCATGATTATAATTACGATGACGATGATGATGATAATGAGGACTGACGATGACGACGACGATGGTGACGATGATGACGATGATAATGGTGATGGTGATGATGATGATGATCGTGATGATGATGATGATGATGATGATGATGGAGATGATGATGATGGTAAAGACACTAAATACTCAGTACGTTTCAAAACAACCGCGAAAGCAATTCTCACAAGTGACTGATTCACCTGGTGACATAACCACTTGACCACCAAACTTGCGCTTAGTGACTAGCGTTTAATCCGACCCCCCAAGTAGTTATTTCGATGTTGTTTGAAAAAAAAACCATGACGCAACCCACATCGAAATAGCATTGAAGAGGATAGATATGGAGAATATGAAATTGACTAGGCTATTATGATTATGACGATAGTGTTGATGGATTGTATGTGAGCCTTACAAATTAAGACAATATATACACAAATTTATTATAAATATAAATCTAAAATTGAGACAATTATATAGTAATTAATTATGAATATAAAAGTTTAGACAATATATAAAGCAATTATTAATTTAAGAACACGACGACGACTTTATGATTATAAATATGTTAATTTAATTGATGGATGATGATGATGATGATAGTGGTGATTCTCATGGGGAAGGCCGTTTTTGCGCAGTTGTCCATTTAGGTTTTGATTCTTGACCTCGATAGGTCGAACCACACGCTGACCATTTTCGGCCGGCTATGCATGGATAACCGAGTTTGCACCTAAGTGTGAGTATATTTAAATCACTAAAGAAAGGTAAATATAGTGTTTGAATAAAGGGCATGGTACATCGTGTAGCAGAGCTCTCAACGAATGTTGTCCTACTTTCCAAACTTTGTGTGTATAAGGCCGTTGGCTGAGATGGAATTAGTAATTATATTTATGAATGATTTACCATATTTTGTCAATCCTCACATTGCCTTATGTACGCCGATGATCTAAAGCTGTTTCAAGTTGTCAGTTCCGAGGAGGATGCCAGAATTCTTCAGGACGCATCTGGTTGCTCTCGTGACCTTGGTGTTTATATCGATAGTTCTTTTTGTAACCATGTTAATCATATAATACGCAGAGCTAATAGAATGCTTGGCTTTATTTGGAGAAACTGTCGTAACATTAAGAATCCTGGTGCAATGATTACCCTTTATCGTACATTAGTTACTTTTCTATACTATATACTTCTCTGAACCTATATAGTTCAGCCTCCGATTCTTGGTTAAGGCCGATTCATAAAATATATTTTTAAGTCAACAGGTTTTTTTTTTTTGTAAATGCTTTGGGTACCCATGCAATCTTCTGTCTCCTAAAAACAGATTTCTTTTATTTGATATGTTATTTTTGTATAGATGTATTAACTCCCTTTATGGTTGTGATTTTAGTTATTTATTTGGTCTCCATGTTAGTTCTAGAAGTTTACGGTCCTCCCATGTGTTTAATGTTCTTTTCAGTCGGATTAATATTTGTGAAACGTAGTTATATTTCTCACTTACACATCTTTTTAAAATTCTCATGTTTTAAGAGAAATAGAGGGTGGAGTGAAGGGAGAAACTTGCTTAAAGAATGACGATATCGATATTTTTTATAATAGTCATGGTACTTATAAAAATCTTATTTTACGTAACATATCCATGCAATATTGATACAGTACTTTTAATTCTACATATAGGCCTATTTTTATATTGCTATATTTTATCCATCCTTTGTAATTGATATATATCGTTGTTGGTGTGGTATGTATAAATAAATAAAAAATTAAAATAAATAAATAAATAAATAAATAATAATAATAATAATAATAATAATAATAATAATAATAATAATAATAATAATAATAATAATAATAATAATAATAATAATAATAATAATAATAATAATAATATTGATGATAATAATGACAAGGAAAACGATTACCGGTCTTAGGTGATGTGTGCGACATTTTCGTCAGCGCGAGGCTTGTGCTGCGATATTCTGTATAGACGGTAGTAATTAACTGCTTCCAAAAGCCAACGGAGATGTCGCTGTTTTCAAAGTCTGTTTTTGGCCGCCTATCAACTGTCGCTAAGCTAGACCCACTGCCACTACCCTCTACATCATAGTCTCCAATTGCCGTACTCTTTTCGTTTTGGTGTATTGCGGTATATTGTGTTGATGCATGTTGAAGTTGAGTCGATTTCATTTTTGCTGTCGAAATAAACTCAGTACTGACATTACGTAGCATATTCACGTTATCATCTGTGGTAATCGGGGCTAAGGTAGGTGTCCCTGTGGCGAAGGTGGCAATGTCACAATGCACAGAGTTTGATTTCCTAGTGGTAATGTTACTATTCTCTGTCTCATATATATGCCAAAAGCAGTTTTCAATCTTTTTGTGGCAATTGGGTTGACTATCATTTTGTTGAATTTTCCATACATGTCTTTGACTTTGGCTACCGGTATCGTGCATATACCCTATTGAGGTAATAAACATTATAAATTATGTTTTATATTTTTAATTAATTATATATAAATTAAATATATGGTTTAATGATATACTTTTCCAACACCCATCGATATGTTAGCTACTGTTGTAGTAGTAGGCCTATTAATATTATAATAACAACAGCAGCAGCAGCAACAGCAGTGTAAATGACAACTATAATACGGTAATAATCATAACTAAAAAGTGGGCTTTCTACAATTCTCACGCCCAATATTTTTCACACACCCGTTCCTAATCAAAACAACTTTCATCCATCTGCAAATTGCACACCAC